CCCTCCACAACTGCTTGGTGTCCCTCTACAACTGCCTGGTGTCCCTCACCAACAACCTAGTGCCCCTCAACCACTGCCTTCTGACACGATGCACAAGGCTGTTTGGGGATAGAAACACCACTTCTTGCCCCATGGAGCTGAACAAACCCTTTTGCTTCTCTCCCCTCAGTTTCTTCCCACCGTTAGGAATGTTGTGCTGATGACTGGATGAGGCACCTGAGGTCCAGGGGCTATTTCTGCACCTCACCCAGTGCTTTGCCTGAGTTCCTTGCCTAGGTTCTCCCCTTAAGAGGGGGAGGTTTTTCGTGTCCCACACAAGGTTCCCCACGCTCTGACTGTACCTGTGTGTCTCTGTGACAGCACAGCCCACGCTCCCTGGCAGGGAGGCAGTGCTGCAGCCCTAGCTGCACAGCAGTGGCACCTGCAGGGCTGTGGCTCAGCTCACTTGGCTTCCCAGGGCACTGCTTGGACCTCGGGGCTGCTCTTCCTTACTTGTGGGAAGTGTTTATGCCATAAACTGGAAAAGAAAACACAATACACATCAGAGCTCAACATCAGGCTGCTCTTTTTTGGTTCTGTTCTGAGCTACTTGGGGGAAAGAAAAGTGGGTAAAAATTAAGTACTTTATGCAGATTCAGGTGTTTCTAGGCTGGAAATAGAACTGGATTTTCTCCTCTCTCCAAGTGCCCAAGGTGAGCTTTGTTATTCTAAAATAAACAGTGAAATCTCTTTGAAAGTGCATTGTTTTCTGCAGGCCCTTTTTCCTCCCAGCGAGATAAAAAGAGCTCTGGCATTTCATATGCTAAATTTTGACTGACCAGAACACAATGTTTTCCTGGCAATGTGGTTTTGCACCTCAGCTTTTTTTGTGTTTGACCTTAGGATGTAGAATTTCATAAAACATTTATTGTCTTCTCCAGTTTTCAGAGCACAATTCCCCTGTGACACTTTGTTTTCATCGTCTGCTCTGAGCAGGATTCCAAGGCTTCTCTCACAGTTTGAATTTTAATTGTGGGTGAAGGGAAGAACCTCTGCTGTTTGCAGCAAAATTAGTCAATGCCTCCCTCAGCGAAGAGTAACAACAGGTAAAGATGATTAGAGTCAGAGCCAGGAGGCAGCCAAGGATCTGGAAGTGATTCTGGGACAGCTGTTTTGTTCCACAAATGAGCAGGGTTTGTGTCTATGTCCCACTCATCAGCACTGGCAGCAGCAGTGATCCTTCTCCCTCAAAACCTGCAGCTGACAAAGATGAAATGCAGTTAGAAAACAAACCAAGCAAACCTCTTTCTGAGCTGTTTGAGGACAGTGAGACAGACAAAGGCAACTGCAAGGCAGACAAAGAACTGTCTTTTCTCCAGCTCCTCCTGCATCCAGACCCTGTTGGTGCCTCCCTCTGGATGCTGCAGGTTTACCACTTAATACCCTCCAAAGATGATAATACATCAGTTATAGAAGCTATTTTAGAGGCACCACTTTACTGATATTGCTAACGAGCTTTGGCTATAAAGGGATTTGCAACCTGAGTTTCATGACAGAGCCGAGGTATAATTTGCTCTGGGCTCCATGAATTATTGAGGCAATTTACTTCCACGTCTGCATTTTCCTTCTGAGCACAAGTGCTCGTGCTGAGTGCATGTGTGTGAGAGGAGAGCCAGGGCTGCAGGAGGCTGGAAAGGAGGGAGGCTCCAACTTCTCCAGCAGCACATCTCCCCAGCACAGGCTCCTGCACACAGCCAGCAGCTAACTGCAGGGAATCACTGGCAAAATGAGCATTTTGGACAAGTGAGGGAGGAAAAATCGTGTGCTGAACAGTGCCAAATGAGGACCAAATATAAATCACAATTAAAACTGCACTTTGGGTAATCACAGAGAGGGGGTTGTCCCTTAGAGGTGTCACAAAGCTCGTGTGGATATAATCACACTATCATGGATCTAGAGCTGGTGAAAACCACCAGCCTGACAAATCAGAGCCCTTAGATCCTCCATCCTATAACCTGCTGTGGGACCAACCTCCCCTCGGTGCTCCTTTCCAGCCTGGTTTCTGATGGAACTGAGGCTTTGGAACCACAACCACATCTGTGTGAGCTCAGCTCTATGTGAGGAGTGTGACAAAGGGCTGAGCCATCACCACTGAAAACAGGCGAGGAGCAAACGGAGCCGCTCAGGGGGGCTGAAGTCTGTGCTCCTGCAGCTGATCGGGGCAGGAGGGGATGGAACAAACAGTTTGTGTCTGAATTAACGAACCACAAGGCAAGGCAAGAGCCTGGGCAAGGCACCAGAGCTTCGCTTAGGGTCGGAAGGAAAGCAGCAGTGATGCTCTCGCTCCCAGGAGGGCACTGGGGGTGGGAGGTCTCTGCTCACCCCTCGCTGTCAGCAGCAAAGCACCAAGGGCAGGGAGGGAAGCCAAAGCGCTGGGATGATTCCCCATCCTCCTTGCCGAGCCGCTCCCGGTGGGATCAGGGAAGAGAGGGACTGCCCTCTCGTGTCAGCCGCTGCTGCTCCAGCGCTGCTCTCCTGTTCCCCGTTCTATTTGGGAGGGAGTGCTCAGCCATTTCCCTCCTGTACACATTCCTTCTTTGGAAAGGCAGAGCGTTCGTTTCCGAGTCCTATCCCCGATGGAAACGCTCGGGAAATAAAAATACATCTGCTGTTTTCGTGGCTGGGAAACACCCAGCCTGGACATCATTGCTTTTCCAGCCAGACGTGCAATGAGTTACCCTGGGGTATGCCCAGGCTCCATCTTGACACAGAAAAAGGAGACAGAGGAAAGAATAAACCAGGAGAAATATAATTACCAATGACAGAGAAGAGGCAGGAGAGATGTGTCACACCAGTCACCTTTCAGAGTAAGCCATACACAAGTTAAACACAGCCCTGACCCTCCCAGTGTGTGCCAGAGCCTCCCAGTGCTGCTGGCAGGCACAGAGCTTCATCTCTGAACCATCAGGGCTCATTTCCAGGGCAGTTCTTGCAGCAATGGTTGTCAGAGAATAACAGAAAGCTGTGCAAGCCTTTGTGCCACCACTTGTGCAGCTCAGACACCTCAGTCTGCACTCCCTGCTGAGCAGCACCGAGTGCTCAGCTCGGATTTCTGTCCTGCTCTCCTCACACAGCTAGTCCCAGAGCACTGAACCACCCTGCAGGTTGCTGGTGTTCTTACAGGCAGCCAAATGAGCACCTTGCTGAAGAGGGTTCAAGGAAAATCACTGCTCAGAAGTGGACAAAATCCACCCCATGTGGAATGGGAGAGGCAGGCAAGGCAAGAGCATTTAGGCAGGAGTTTTTCCAGGCTGCACTGCTGCAATCAGCTCCAAGCTCCCAGGTTTACAATGAGGCACAGCTACCAGCACTTCCCTAAGAGTAATTTCTTTGGGCTATCATAGCCTGTAGTGTGGTATCTGTATCTGTAACTCACTGTGGATGGCCCAGGCAGAGCATGTTTTGTGTCACTCTGCTCATTACTGAGCCCATCTATGTGCCAGGAATCTGGAGCTTTTCTTTCCTGTGCTGTCTGAGACTCTGACACCTGAGCAGGTAACAAAGTATAAAGGCATCTCTGAAATATCTGCTGAATATTTGAAGCACATCAGCAATACTGAACCATGTGTGCAAGTGGCTCTTTGGGACTTCATCTGCAAAACACAAGTAGTGAAAGCCACACACAAGGAATCTAAGGGCTTACAAAGCCTCCAAACCAACCCCTTTGGGTCTCATGAGAACCAACGAAGCATCTCTTCTCATCTGTCTCAGTCCCTGTCCTAGTTGTGAAACACAACACGATGCATTTCCCTCCACACACTGTCCTGTCCTCACCACCTTCCTGCTCTTTGAGGAACATGAGCAACTTGTCCTCAGCAATTTTCTGGACAGTCCATGTTCTCAAGAGAAGAGAAACTACTGAGGCTGTTCAGTGTGACTTGCTAGGATTCCCCCTTCAGCTCCAGCCTGAGAAACTGCTGTTCTAGGACAAAAACTTCCTGTTTGTTCTGTTCTGAGTGTGTATTCCCAAGATGGCAAAATTCCCCTGACCTTTTTTATTGCCATGTGCTGGACACAAGGAATATTTTCTTTATCAGCAGATGAACAAGCATTCATGTCCCACTTTTACAGGCATTTTCACACTGCTGCCCTTTTGCCTCATTTCATATCCTTGGAGCAGCTTTACCAGGGGATTAAGCAGCCACAGAAAACATTTCTCCTAACTGACAGATCATTACAAGGGCACGAGAGGAGACATCTTTCCATCATAACCTACTTATAAACCCAAACTCTCCATGTCTTCTTTAACTTTTACAGTCCTTCCCATCCGAAATGAGTCAGATCTGTGGCTGTTCCTGTGCTGCATCTTCCACAGTTTCTGAGTTTGCCTGTGCTGCTGGAGCTCTGCTGGTTGTCTCAGGTGGGTTCTGGTTGGGATTCAGCCCACCTAGTGTCATCTGTTCAGGGATGTCACTGAGTTTCTGGTTTAGCTGTGCCACTTCAACCCGTGGTTTGCCCATTTGGACAACTTCATCATAGGAAGGTGGCAAGTCCATTGCATAGACACTGTAAGCTGGAGGGGACACAGTGTTCTTATCCATATCCACAAACACTGATGGGATCTGGACACTGGGAGGATACTGCCACGAGCTGTATGCTGTGAAGGAATGAAGAATCAAAATTAAACACCTGCATGGAACACTGACATATCAAGGGCTAATCCTGCTTTTCTCCAAGAAATTCTGGACTCATTTTTATGGTGCCACAACTGGATAGTTCCTCATGGAACATGTACATCCTCCAGAAGGAAGCAGTGAGGAGACAAAACATCTCTGCATATCACTGTCCATGGTATAACACAGGTCTGGACATCAACAGCTGGGAACAACTCCTCACATTAGGGAGAACTTTGGCTGGACTAGCTGGACAGTGAGTTAAAAAATGAGGGAATGGTGAGAAGAATAGATGTGGGAGATGAATCCTAAGAGGTTAACCTACCATGGACTTTAAAGCATTAAATCCTACTTGTCTTCTGCACTCCTTGTGTCACCCTGTGCCTCTCTTGCCCACCCTGTGGAAGCTGCTCTGGGAATGGCCCCAGGGTTCCAGGTGCTCCCAGGGGGTACTCACAGGTCACTGTGCTGTGGGCAGTGCTGTCACTGTCGATGGCAATCCCTGCCAGCTCACAGGGGTGCCGGGGGAAGGGCTCCACTGGAAGCCTCTTCTTTCGACAGCAGAACTTGACGCAGGTCGCTGTGATCCCACAGAGCAGGAACAGGCACACAGTCAGCAAGAGCAACCTTGGAGAGGGAGGGAGAACACCATCATTCCGTGGATTGTGTTTGACTCCTTCCAGAGCTGAGTGTAATTCCCCTCTAAGTGGCTGGAAGACAGGCCAAGCCTCCTAGGTTTGGTTCTGAGTGGGTGTTGGATCCTGAGTGAGGAAGTTGGATCCTGAACACTTCATCACAAGTTGGAGCATTACTGCCCATTGGCACAACCTGTTCTAGCTCATGGGTGCCACAACATCAGCTATTTTGGGTTGTGTTTGTAACTTCTGGGCAGTGAGGGTGGCTCTGCTTCCCACAGTAACAGAGTATTTGTAACTTCTGGGCAGTGAGGGTGGCAACAGAGTTTGGACTTGGAGGGAAATACAAGCACAAACTTTCCTGCGTCTGGGGTCTGTGGAAATTAAATTACATTTATGCCTTAAAAACACAATTCAACCCTTACCTATTCCACAAAGTTCATCATTTAACAATTTGCAGTGTACCTGGGTTGATGTGCTATTGTTTCAAACTCTACCTTCCTCCCCCAGTTTCTCTAACAAACCCACTCTGCTCTTAGAAACCTTTCTAATCTCTTTTCTGTGACTCTGTCTTGCTAAGCAGTTCTGTGCATCAGCACTTGCTAAGAAACCAAAGAATATCAACCAAAATGAGTTCAGACTGAGTGACAGCTAAAAGTAACCAACCCACTGTGTGTGCTGCCATCAAAGGTAATGCATGGACAGAATGCAAACTGAGGATAACTATAACAAATGTTGGGCAAGAGATGAACCCACGTGGGACAAGAGCTTCCCCTGTTACTGGTCACTGTTTCCCCTGTCAGTCAGTCCAACAGGCAGTGCACAGGTCTGTGCTGAGCCCAGGAAGGACACACAGCACTCAGCTGACAGTCCCTGTGCTGCAGGAGGCAGTGAGCCAAGGGCTGTGCTGAGCCCCAAAGGTCTGAGCTGGGTGTCTGCCCTCGTGCAAAGAGCCAATCCCCTGCAGGGCTGTGGCTATTTAGGAAGAACAAACAAGCCCTGCAGTTCAGCTGCAGTGCACTCCAAAAGGGAAGATGACATAGCTCAGGATGAATGCTGTGCCCTGCCTGACACCCTATCTCCCCTGTAACCCATCCCACTCAGAGCCCTCTGAGAACAGCAGGAGCTCTTCCCTCCATCCCACCCCGGAGTGTGTGCTCTGCCTTACTGCAGCCACTGCCCACGGGCACTTCCAGGTGGTTCTGGGGTAGTAAGAGCAATAACCAACTCACCAGACATACCACAGACTTGTCCAATCAGACATGTTCTGAGGGCATCTGTGAAGGAAGGGGAAATTCACTGATTTGTGTATCTACAGTCAAACAGCACATGCATGTGGGGAGTACAGCTCCCAGGATTTGTGAAGAGAGAGAGGGAAAGCCATTAGTGAGAGCATGAAGCAAAAACCTAACTGTTCTTCATAGCTGTGGAGTCACTCCAGCTGAGAACACACAAACAACCCCCTGCAAAAGTTGGCTGCTGAGTCAGGAAGTGTTTTTAGCATGTGATGCTTTAGTGTTGCTCAGGAGAGAGAAGGACACATGTGGGATTCCCAAAAACCAAATCAGAGTGTTATTCAGAGGTAACTGAGCTGAGCTGCCTCATCCCAGAGGCCTATTTGAAAATGCCAACTCAGACAACTGCCTGCTGCCCCCAGTTATTTTTAAGTTCTTTTTCCATAGCTCTGATGCAGCCAGAACTGTTTTTTCAGACCCATTTCAGTACCAAAGGAGCAGAACAGCCTGTTACCCTCCAGGAGTGCAGCTGCCACTGCAGCACTGTACGCACTGATCCTCAGGCAGCAGATTTCGTGTACCAGAACAATGTTTTGGGCCACGGGAGAGGATGTGACCGCTGAAAGCTGTCACTTCACAGTCCTTTTGGGAGAGATCACTCGCCTCTGTCTACAGAGCAAGGCCAAGTCAAGTTTGTAACTTACTAACCACCCTGGAGATCACAAAATAGCAGCAAGGGATGGCAGCGGCAGGTCACTGCTGGCACCTGCGGGTCCCAGCAGGGGATTACTCACCAGTCAGAGCTCCCGGCGATGCTCTCGGTGGAACAGCAGTGCCTGGCACTCGGGGCAGAGCGGGATGGCAGCAGACGGTGCCGGAGGAGAACTAACTGCCCGATGCATCTGCCGCAGGTCCCGG